CCAAACTGGATAGCATATTTAAAAGCAGAAACATTACTTTGCCAACAAAGATCCATCTAGTCAAGGCTATGGTTTTTCCAGTGGTCATGTATGGATGTGAGAGTTGGACTGTGAAGAAAGCTGAGCGCTGAAGAATTGATGATTTTGAACTGTGGTGTTGGAGAAGACTCTTAAGAGTCCCTTGGCCTGCAAAGAGATCCAACTAGTCCATCCTGAAGGAGATCAGTCCTGGGTTTTCACTGGAAGGACTGATGCTGAAGCTGAAACTCCAATACTTTGGCCACCTCATGGGAAGAGTTGACTCATTGGAAAAGACCCTAATGCTGGGAGGGATTGGGGGCAGGGGGAGAAGGGGACAACAGAGGATGAGATGGCTGGATGACATCACCAACTCAATGGACATGGGTTTGGGTAGACTCCAGGAATTGGTGGTGGACAGGGAGGCCTGGTGTGCTGCAATTCATGGTGTTTCAAAGAGTCGGACATGACTGAGTGACAGAACTGAACTGAACTGAATGAATTATTGATTCATAAAATGGTTGGCTAATAATTATCATCATACAAGTAGTAGAAACAATAACGGGTTTTAGTCTGCAAATACAAGCAATTTTCTTTTGGATGCTTGAATCACACATTTTAATCACATGGATTTTAAATGGCATTATTTTTTTAGTTTCTTCTAGTTTTCTATTTTTTTAATTTTAAATATTTTCTAAGACTTTAGAACTTATTGTATGCCATCCAGTGCAGATTCTCAATATATTAGTAAAAGGTTGAAATCATTAATTTCTCCAGCAATGACTTCTTAATTATATTAAGATACAGTTTAATAACAAAGTTAGAGACTTTGATAATTTTCATAACTTGGATAGATGTAGTAAAAATACTATAGTCTCAACATACCTCCACAGATAACATAGATTGAAGTAACTTTAGGGGTAGTTTTGAGTGGTCACAAATATAAAAATCTTGATAAACAATGCAAAGAGAAAACATGCCTCATAAGATTTGTTTAGTATCACACAATACTAATTTTTACCACCAGTATCTTGTGTCAGAACTCTTAGACATACCAGGAAAAATGAAGATACTATGATTAAGAAATAGGCATTCTCACTTTCATCTAAAATTGCCATTTGCATGAAGGTGACTTTGTATACATTATATTCATCTTTGTTCAGGACCCTGATTGTATATCACAATGAAATATTAAGTTGTATACTCACGGAATGCCTAGTTAAGAAGGATATTCTCTTGGATTGATTTCAGTGATGAATGTGGAGTTAATGTGTGTCTCTGTGTGAAAGTCTGTATTGTATAGAACAGGTTCATTTATAAAATGCCTCATTATTAAAGTGACCCTGAAAAAATAAAAGATAGACATGTAATACATGAAAAGGTCTGTTTGGAATGAATTTATTTATGTGCCATTCATCAAAAGGGATTAGCTATTCTCCAGGTTAATGCCACCATTACCACCCTGTATGGATAAGAATTTACAGTGATTTTACATTTTCATTGATCTTTTGAATTAAATGGATTCTTAGCCTATAAGAGAAGGATACAATTTCCCAAGGGACTAAGTTTCATTCTGAGCACTTTTCAAACCACACCCTCAAATCCCAAGGATTTATGCATTCACTCTCCTTTGATTATCAGGAGCACATTAACTTTTTTTTACATTAATTTAAAGTTTGAGAAATATTCCATGGGAGATTCCTTAGGCAGAATACATTACATAATTTATTTAAGGGAACAGAATGTTTAGGAGAATTTGCAAGAATAGGCTTAAATACAAGGAAATAGACAGCCAAAATATTTGTAGGATTTTATAGAAACCAATTTAAATCTCTCACCCAGCACAAAAATCTCTCCCACCTAGTTGTTGAAGCTTAAAATGCCTTTCACATAAGACATTTCAACCCCTTGGCTGTCCTTGGTGGCCCAGATGGTAAAGAATCAGCCTGCAAAGCAGGAGACCTGGGTTCAGTCCCTGGGTTGGGAAGATCCCCTGGAGAAGGGAATGGCTTACCCACTCCACTATTCTTGCCTGGAGAATCTCATGGACAGAGGAGTCCGACGGGCTATAGTCCATGGGGTGGCAAAGAGAAGGACGTGACTGAGCAACTAGCATTTTCACTTTCAAACTTGAAAATGACAGCATGATATATTCCCAACAAATACACAAGTAATTGAAGCTAAATCTTTTCTTGAATACAAGTTTTAATTGAGGGAGAGTCCACAAGTTTGGGGCACACCAAGTAGAGAAGAACCTGAAGAGGATCTATACACTAGAAAAAGGAATCAGAAAGAGCAAGCCACGAATATCAAAACAAGCTTCACCTACTTCAAAATTTTCCCTAGAGCTGCGGTGTATGGTTGACTTACATTTCCTTATCCAGCCTCTGAATTCTTCCCTCCTAGACCTTTGACTTGCTCTCCTGAAAGAAGACTAAGCTACTCCAGCTGGCCACATACATGATGGTGTCACCAGCTGCAGTTCAAGCCAAACTTCATACTATTTTGATGCAAAGGATTTAAGTTGTGGGTATGAGATTTACTGGACTCCATTACTAAGAAGAGAGCTCCTCATTGTATACAGTAGTTTCAAATGGGTACATAGAATAGTGAAGTGTCATGAAATGATATTATATGCAAAACTGTCCTGAAAAAGAGACAGTTACAGAAGGACATGACAAAACTTAATGCAAAGGGAGATAAACTAAGCCACCAATGACAGTGATGCACATTTGGTTTCAGCATAAGAAAGAATTTCTTAAAAACTGGAGTTGTCCAGATGAAGAGGGCTGCTCTCCAAGGTAACAAACTCCTTGGTCCTTAAGTGTTCTGTTAAGGGTAATGAAGAAAGCATGTCTGATTAGGAGATGTGGAAGAAGTTTGTATCAACAACTAAAACTAAATTTAATGCTGTGCTGTGTTCTTAGTCGCTCTGTCTTGTCCAACTCTTTGCGACCACATGGACTATAGCATGCCAGGCTCCTCTGTCCATGGACTTCTCCAAGCAAGAATACTGCACTGGGTTGCCATGCCCTTCTCCAGGGGATCTTCCTAACCCAGGGATCGAACCCAGGTCTCCCACATTGCTGGTGGATTCTTTAACCTCAGAGCCACCAGAGAAGCCCAAAATTTAACACTGAACACCTCTAATTTTCTACAGACAACATAAGGTTTAAGGCCATATAGAAGGAGAGTTTAAGAGACATTAATATAATAAAACAGTTTACAATAGTCATGTCTTGGCTGACATGAAAGCAACCTAAGTGCCCACCGATGGATGAATGGATATAAGAAAATGTAAGATATTTGTATATATAATTGAACTATTTTCTAGCCATAAAAAAGATGGAAATTTTGCTATTTGTGATGACATCGATGGAACTTGAGGCCATTGTGCTAAGTTAAATAAATAAGAGAAAGACAAATACTGCATGATCTCATTTATATGAGAAAAATCAATCAATCAATCACAGATACAGAGAAGAGACAGAACGATTCAGAGGCAGAAGGTAGGGGGTAGGTAAAATAGGTGAAAGGATTCAAAACATACAGACTTCCAACTATAAAATAAGTCAGTCACAGGGATGTAGTATACAGCATGGTGACTCTATTGTATATTTGAAAGTTGCTAAGACAGTAGATCCTAAATGCTCTTCTCATGAGAAAAAAAATAGTAAGTATATACATACTTGTATAAAAGAAAATAATCTATAACTATGAATAGTGACATATACTAGATTTATTATGGTGATCATTTCACAATATGTACAATTAACAAATCATTATTATGTACACCTATAACTAACATGTTATATGTCAATTATATTCAATTAAAAAGAAGTATGACAAAAGTATATAATAATCCAGAATGATTATAAAAATGAAAAAAAAAAAATGTTACCAATAAGTATGGGAGCCAGAAAGGACAAGAACAAAGACAAGTAATGACTGGCAGTGCAAGGAAGGACAGGAAGAAGAACACGTGGAAATAGATAATCAGGTAGAATTAAGGATTCTTTTTTTTTTTTTCCAGTTTTTTTAATTTTTTATTTCAGTATTATAATCAACAGGCAGACTTTGCTATACATGCTATTTCCCACAGGAAAGGCAAAAGTTAACTGTATGATGATAGGAGTAGGGCTACAGGACCCTCTAAAGAGAGCTGGACCAGTGTTTGCCAAAAAAAAAAAATAAATAAGCTGTCCTTTTTTTTCTTTTCTGTTCTTGGGAACAAGAAGGACAAACTTTTTTTTTCTCCCAAATAAAGAATGGCAACTTTTTCACTATTAAAACAAATACAAATGGTGGCCCATCTCCATTTGTTTATTTGTTTTGAGAGAATTTAATGATAACAAAAGACAACAAAATACATCACTTTTACAGTGATGGCCACTACCATGAGGCTTAAAAACTAGCTATTGTTTTGATCCTCTAGCTATTTAGACAAAATATTCCCCTTCTCTGTGCATTAGTTTGTTCATCTAGAAAACAGATATGGAATGAGAGTGGCCTTAAAGGACTATTGCAAGCTTTCACCTTCCTACATAGGATGGACTGAAGTCTGAAACAGAGCAGCAGCACATGATACAGATAAATGGCATTTATTCTTCTATATTTCTTACCTCCATCAAATTACAACTGAAAAACTATTCAAAGTCATGGTTTGTGACTTTTAGAAGTCTATGTTCCACGGTGTGGCCACTGCCAAAATTTAACACTAGGTTTGAAGGAAGCAACAGCTACAGTCTCACGTAGCCTATGGAGATAAGCATTCCACCTTAAGAAATCAGGATAGTGTTCAGGGATTTTCCTCCACCAAGATTTTGGATCCAATGAAAATGTATCAGAGGACTGTCAGGATGACAGAAGTGAAGAATCCAGTGGACGTTGTTCTGAGTACTCTGATGAGTTTAATTGCACTGATGGCTTCAGCAGGATCGCGAAGTGATGGATGTGGTTCGATCACTCCGTGGCGGGCCGGCTCACTTGGAGCTGGTGTACTTGGTGACGGCCTTGGTGCCCTCGGACACCGAGTGTTTGGCCAGCTCCCCGGGCAGCAGCAGGCGCACGGCCGTCTGGATCTCCCTGGATGTGATGGTCGAGCGCTTGTTGTAATGCGCCAGGCGCGACGCCTCGCCCACGATGCACTCGAAGATGTCGTTCACGAATGAATTCATGATGCCCATGGCCTTGGAAGAGATGCCGGTGTCCGGGTGGACCTGCTTCAGCACCTTGTACACGTACACGGAATAGCTCTCCTTGCGGCTGCGCTTGCAATTCTTGCCGTCCTTCTTCTGCGCCTTGGTCTCCGCCTTCTTGGAGCCCTTCTTCGGGGCCAGAGCGGATTTAGAGGGTTCAGGCATGGCCGGAAGTTTACTGCAAAACAGCCCAAAAACCACAGAAGGAAGAAGCTTAAGGATTCTTAATTAAGAATTCATTTCAGTTCAGTTCAGTTGCTCAGTCATGTCCAACTCTTTGCAACCCCACGGACTACAGCATACCAGGCCTTCCTGTCCATCACCAACACCCAGAGTTTATTCAAACTCGTGTCCATTGAGTCAGTGATGCCATCCAACTAGCTCATCCTCTGTCATTGCCTTCTCCTCCCACCTTCAATCTTTCCCAGCATCAGGTTCTTTTCAAATGAGTCAGTTCTTCGCATCAGGTGGCCAAAGTATTAGAGTTTCAGCTTTAGCATCGGTCCTTCCAATGAATAGTCAGGACTAATTTCCTTTAGGATGGACTGGTTGGTTCTCCTTTCTGTCCAAGGGACTCTCAAGAGTCTTCAACACCACGGTTCAAAAGCATCAATTCTTCGGCATTCAGCTTTCTTTATAGTCTAACTCTCACATCCATACATAACCTCTGGAAAAACCATAGCTTTGAGTAGATGGACCTTTGTTGGCAAAGTAACGTCTCTGCTTTTTAATTAAGAATTAGGATGGGGAAATTGATGTTACTTCACCAAAACTGAGGACACTTGGGCTTCCCTGGGCTCAGACAGTAAAGTATCTGTGTGCAATGCAGGAGACCCGGGTTTGAACCCTGGGTTGGGAAGATCCCCTGGAGAAGGAAATGGCAGCCCACTCCAGTATTCTTACCTGGAAAATCCCAGGCAAGAGGTAGGCTTGCCAGGAAAAGCCTACTAGGCTTTGCGACCATGGGATCGCAAAGAGTCGGACACGACTGACTGACTTCACTTTCACCTCACTTTGGAATAAAAACATAGGAATAAGCAAATCAGGAGAATGAGAAATTAGCCTGACATGGAATTTCCCAAAATGAAGGGAAGGTTTAATATGTGTTTTGGGGTGGGAGGAATTTCTATGGTCAAATACGTTTAGAAATACTGAGTTAAACACCATTAAACTGATTCTTATAGAGCCTTAGCTATTTATCACAATTCTTTTTTTTTTTTGTATTCATAATTTTTTTTAATTTTTTTTTTTTTCATTTATTCTTACTAGTTGGAGGCCAATCACTTCACAACATTGCAGTGGCCCTTGTCACACACTGACACGAACCAGCCATGGATTTACATGTATTCCCCATCCCGGTCCCCCCTCCCACCTCCCTGTCCACCCAATCCCTCTGGGTCTTCCCAGTGCACCAGGCCCGAGCACTTGTCTCATGCATCCAACCTGAGCTGGTGATCTGTTTCACCCTAGATAATATACATGTTTCGATGCTGTTCTCTTGAAACATCCCACCCTCGCCTTCTCCCACAGAGTCCACAAGTCTGTTCTATACATCTGAGTCTCTTTTTCTGTTTTGCATATAGGGTTATCGTTACCATCTTTCTAAATTCCATATATATGTGTTAGTATACTGTAATGGTCTTTCTCTTTCTGGCTTACTTCACTGTTATAATGGGCTCCAGTTTCATCCATCTCATTAGAACTGATTCAAATGAATTCTTTTTAATGGCTGAGTAATATTCCATGGTGTATATGTACCACAGCTTCCTCATCCATTCATCTGCTGATGGGCATCTAGGCTGCTTCCATGTCCTGGCTATTATAAACAGTGCTGCGATGAACATTGGGGTGCACGTATCTCTTTCAGATCTGGTTTCCTCGGTGTGTATGCCCAGAAGTGGGATTGCTGAGTCATATGGCAGTTATATTTCCAGTTTTTTAAGAAATCTCCACACTGTTCTCCATAGTGGCTGTACTAGTTTGCATTCCCACCAACAGTGTAAGGGGGTTCCCTTTTCCCCACACCCTCTCCAGCCTTTATTGCTTGTAGACTTTTGGATAGCAGCCATCCTGACTGGTGTGTAATGGTACCTCATTGTGGTTTTAATTTGCATTTCTCTGATAATGGGTGATGTTGAGCATCTTTTCATGTGTTTTTTAGCCATCTGTATGTCTTCATCTGTATGTCTTCTGTATGTATGGAGAAATGTCTGTTTAGTTCTTTGGCCCATTTTTTGATTGGGTCATTTATTTTTCTGGAGTTTAGCTGCAGGAGTTGCTTGTATATTTTTGAGATTAATCCTTTGTCTGTTGCTTCGTTTGCTATTATTTTCTCCCAATCTGAGGGCTGTCTTTTCACCTTGCTTATAGTTTCCTTTGTTGTGCAAAAGCTTTTAAGTTTCATTAGGTCCCATTTGTTTATTTTTGCTTTTGTTTCCAATATTCTGGGAGGTGGGTCATAGAGGATCCTGCTGTGATTTATGTCGGAGAGTGTTTTGCCTATGTTCTCCTCTAGGAGTTTTATAGTTTCTGGTCTTACATTTAGATCTTTAATCCATTTTGAGTTTATTTTTGTGTATGGTGTTAGAAAGTGTTCTAGTTTCATTCTTTTACAGGTGGTTGACCAGTTTTCCCAGCACCACTTGTTAAAGAGGTTGTCTTTTTTCCATTGTATATCCTTGCCTCCTTTGTCGAAGATAAGGTGACCATAGGTTCGTGGATTTATCTCTGGGCTTTCTATTCTGTTCCATTGATCTATATTTCTGTCTTTGTGCCAGTACCATACTGTCTTGATGACTGTGGCTTTGTAGTATAGTCTGAAGTCAGGCAGGTTGATTCCTCCAGTCCCATTCTTCTTTCTCAAGATTACTTTGGCTATTCGAGGTTTTTTGTGTTTCCATACAAATTGTGAAATTATTTGTTCTAGTTCTGTGAAAAATACCGTTGGTAGCTTGATAGGGATTGCATTGAATCTATAGATTGCTTTGGGTAGTATATTTATCACAATTCTAAGTCTCTAAGAAATGAGGACAACATGTAGGTGTCCTTATTAAATCCATTTTTATGAATGGATTTTAGAAATCCATTATAGAAATTATAGAAATCTTTGGGAACTAGCAATCCAAAGAATACAAAATAAAAAAAGAAATATTAGACTTGGGTGTCTGGAACATAGTATCTTCTGGTTATGGGAAGTTTGGACTTAGACTCAAATCCTAGTCATAATGAACCTAGATAATTCAAAAACTATATAAGAGAAACAAAAAGTCTAGCCAATTTATGGAGAAAGGAGAAGAGTAAGGCTAATATCAAAAACCATCTTCATGTTTTAAACCCTGTTTTAGTGTGTGACTCAACCTATAAATGGTTTTCCTCTGTAGTGAGAGCCCTACACTGCACCAGATCTGTATTCTAAATTCCTGGCCATGGTCATAGAACTTGGATAGTTCATTTAAAAATAAGATAAGGAACATGAGTTGGGGATACCTCAGGAGACCCAGCTTCACTGTTTAAAGATAATAATCACAGCTACCACATTTCAAATGCAACCAGGGGCCAGACAGTTTAATCCTCACCAAGGTTCCCACTTCAAAGGTGAGGACGCTAGAGATCAGAAAAAGTAAGTAACACTTCCAAGATCTCTTTGTTAGTGAGTTGTAGAGCCAGGATTCAAACAGGCCTGGCTAACTCTAAATCCTACAACTCTTAACAACTGCTGCTGTTCAGGGACACAGGAAGGCAGGAGTGGGAGTTGAGAACAAGTTTACATACGGACTTGTTACATTACAGTATATACCGTATGACTAGAAGCCATCTCTCTCCCTCACAGTGCTCCAGCCACAGCTGTTTTGATGTTTTCTAGATTACGCTGTGCTCTTCCTTGCTTCAGGCCTTTGCACCTGCTGTTCTCAGCGACTGAAACAGTTTTTCCCCCTTCCTTCACACCTTATCCCTCCAGCCTCAGCTTTAACGTCATTTCTTCAATGAGTTCCTGTTTTCAACTGCACCTAAAGTAGCTAAGCCTCTCCTCTCCTATCACACACTGCCATCAATATCACTGCTGTATATTTTTTATTATACTTACCACAAGCTATATAACTTTTTTCCTTCACTGATTTATTTTCCTCCTGCTTCACTAAACTTCAATCTCCATGAGGGCAAGAAGCCTGTCTTCTTTACCCAGACTAGTTTAAGGCTGGTTCCTAGTGCCTACTTAGTAAATACCAGTAGGATAAAATGAACTTCAAGTAGGTATTAATATTATACATTGGGGTTTGAAGAGCTGAAGAGAAATTAAGGCTTATTTATATACTTGAAAGTAATGGCCTTAAAGATGGCATATGAAGCTATGGATATGAGTGGATTTTTCCATGGAGAATGTGCAGATAAAAGAGCCGAAGTGAAAAAACTTGACATGGTAACCATCACCCAAGATGGTCCACACTGACTCTCACTTCCTGGTACTCTAGTACTTGGGTGGTCCCCTCTCAAATTGAATTGGACTGATCTTGTATGATTAACAAGATACTGTAGAAGTGGAAAAGTTTGACTTACAAGGCTAGGTCATAAAAGACATTATGGCTTCCTCCTTCTCTACCTTGGAGAGTCAAATGCCATATCATACTGACTCTGAAGTAGTTCTAAGGAGAGATCCATGTAGCATGGAACTCATGTCTCCGAATAACAGGCAGCAGCAACTTGCCAGCACATGTATGAACTAACAAAAGCAAATTCCCAAACCCTAGTCAAACTTTCAGATGACTGCAGCCCTAGTTGACATCTTATCCACAATCTCAGGAGAGACTCAAGTCAGAAACATCCAATTCAGCTCTTTTTAAATTTGTGACCCACAGAAACTGAGTGAGATATTTGTTGTTGTCTTAGACACAAAGTTTGGGGATAATCTGTTATATAGCAATAGATAATTAATACATGCAAGGAATAACATTATATTAAAATTTTCCCTAACAAAAGAATACTGAAAATTCATTTCATGAATTTGTAAAATGTCATGTCCCAATTCATCTTTTTGTACATCTTCTTAGATAAATTACTCATCATATATATCCTGGCCTGCATTTTTATAGTGATTCCTTATTATTATATTCTTTATTCCTTATTTAAACAAACCAAAAAAAAACAAAGGAAAATTTGACAAGATCAGA